GAAATTTTCCTTTTTTCAACCCTGTGATCTTTCAGACTTCAGGTTTGACTTGTTTTGAATTCTTCATGTATAACGTTAGTCACTTTTTGTTTTCCTTTAAACCAAACTACCGACTACCCAGCGTCACATGTGACCAGTTGCATGCTTGGGTATTACCCTAAGTAATTTGAGAGATGAAAAGATAAGAAGTATGAATCAAAATGTGGTAAATGAAGACAAGATTGACTAGTTTATCAATATTCTTATGAATTAATTTTTATCGTATTTACACACTTAACAGGATGAGACAATATGGAGATATTTTATCCCCGTGAACACACACACACAGATCCCCTTAAGTATGATAAAGTTCGTGAAGAATTCATGGGGTATCATTGACACAAACTCAAAGTGGTCATCCCATATTTAAAACTGTGCAAAGAAACTTCGTGAATTATCTTTTGAACTACAAAGACGAAGACAGTTAAACGGCAAACAAAAAATTATTTCGTTTGTTATTTATCAATGCGTTTTTCTTGTTCTTCTTTGTTGTTCCCCGGTGGTTTTTGCTGGAATACTTAAGAATTACCTCAGACTTCTTCATGGTGTTTTGTCTATTGTCAGTCGTGTGTCTTTTAAACCTGTTGATGATCTAACTAGAAAACTTTGTGAACTTCACTTGTCCGCGTGTGAAACATTGCACAGAACATCCTCTCTGACCCCACGCAATCTTTACGTGGCAATCTATCCGAATGCCGCTTTCATTCATGCATACGTTCTATATATCGTTTTTTAGCCTCTCGCATTAACCTCTACAAAAATTCTACAGTTCTCTATCTTGCCAAAATAGTTGCGAACCGACAGCGCATTTCTTCTCAGTTTCTCAGCAACCTTGCTGGTAAATGTTTTGCTCATATGATTTCCTTCTATCGATGAGACGATGTTTAATTTTGGACTGGAATGTGGACATCTGTCCACGCAAACATCTACGCAGTTAAAAATACAAATACAGATCCGACTGAAAGACTCCATTTCAGCCTCCTCCCCCGCAACCCCCGAAAAGTCATGGAGCTCTTGCCCTGCCACGGTCGTCTTCCGCAAAGCTGATCGCGTAACAAGGGTTTTGGCAAAAAACAGTAGACATATATCCCATGATCGATAAAGTGCCTGCGATTCATCGAGGTAAACATCACCCTTTCTTGCACCAAATCCCATTTGTTCAAGATGGATCCTTCAATCCTTTATTGATTTTCTGTTCAATCACGGCGGGATTAGACTAGCCACTGAAGCAATGGGAATGAGCTGCTCTCCGATGAAGGAAACAGGGCATGTTGCCAAACTTTGAACTGCATCAGCGAGATCCTGCTTATGAACGAAATTCATAACGTGTTTGTTCTGTAGAGCGAGGATATGATCCTCCTATAGTTGCAACTTATACCCGGTGCTAAACTTGATCGATTGTGGACACATCCGTTCACATAACTTTCAAGATTAGTTCACCAAGGTGTTTTTGTCCTCTTGTAGTTTTGGGTGTTCTACAGAAGCAGCAGCAACAACAACAACTTCGTCTTCAGGCATTGACAGTTGTATGAATTTATACTTAATATGGAAACAAATGTGATTGGTCCATTGAAGTTAAGTGCAAAAGTGTGATGAGTGGCAACAATTGCAAAACTGGTTATATACTTCCCGGCGACATTTTTCAAATGATTCAAGCACTACTTATTGTAAAAATCATCATCGTTATTAAAAAAATACTGAGACCTGTGCGACCCTGACCAATTGCACAATAAGGCCATTTCTATCACCCAAGTATCCTGCAGGTCGCGTTCGGTCATACAAGAATCAAGGGCAAATCCTAGACTAAAGAAATTCAAATGGTGTTTAGAACGGTGTACTCTATTCCCAAGATTCTTGATGAATTCCCCCTTCCCCTAAACGAAACCGCCGTATACTCAGAAAACAGCTACTCTAAACAAAATAACTAGTCGCACATAAGCGTTCAGACAAGTGCGTGTGTGTGTATTCCGATTCAGTTCTCGTTGGGACAGAAAAATCGTGTGTTTTATTGATCAGGGGAAGTCGAGGTTCGCATTTTTGCATGGAGTACGGCTTTTATGAAAATTTTCTCATACAACAAATAATCAGGTTGTGAAAGTTCCAAAGCGATTCATAACCCCGGGAGGCTAGTGCTTAGATGAGTAAGGTCCGATACTCACAAAAAGCTCACATAGATGGATTGTGCTACATCGTGTATATTACAAATGAGAAACGATCTGATCAGCCCTCCCAAGATGGCCGAGTGGGTAGAAATGCTTGTGAGGTCTGAGGTTCTATCCCCAGTTGGCTCATTGGATTCGCGCACTGCTGGTGAGATCGAACCATGTCAAAACAGCTATCCAGCTGTGCTTCCCAGCTTTTCAGCTCACGCCTCGTTTACACGAGGAATTCATCGTATGAAATATATATCTCAGCGCTTAGGATTTCGGAATTACTCCTCCTTGTGGCACAAACCTCAGTTCAGAAGTTCCAACGTGCATCCCCTTATTGGTTCCCCGTTTTCGGAATTCTACCCAATACCCGTGTGTGTAAGGTATTCCTTAAACTGTATACAATACTCTTCTCCAAACAATGCTGAAAATCAGTGTTTCTGATCTGAACTCACTCACGAGGCTTTGTTTGTCTACAAGACATTCCGATCAATTTTCCAATGACGTATCATTTGGAATTGTTCAAGCCTAACTTTCAGCCCCCGTAGGGGTCGAGACTGATCAAACTTGCTTGGGTCTGTAAGGTGTTTCTTTGTCCTTGGAGAGAAAATAGCTCGTAGACCTCGTGCCGGATAATAAGAAAATTGGTTTTTATCACGTGTGATTTTCTGTTATCACATTCTGTGACCCATTTGTTTCTGCACGA